GTCACCTTTACCAGCCTGAGTAGGCAGTTTATCTAACAAACCTCTTAGTCACTCTTGGGGCAGGACTTGATCCCTACTTGTGGTTAATCCGATGTCCTGACAGCTCTCCGAGTCCGTAGAAAGGGGGCAGGAGAGGCACAAACAACTCGTTCTGTAGCTCCTTTAGGGAGCACTGCCACTGGGTCAGGCTGAAACACTCTGTGGTTGGGCCCATCGTTGGCTGTGGGGATCAGAGCGCATTTCAGAGCTGCTGCAGGATACTCTGATTCATGCCAGACGGAACGAAGGGACCTGAAAGGGTCCAAAAGTTGCTTTCTGCTCTTTGTCTCTCTAAAAGTGTCCTGTCTTCTTTTTTTTTTCCCCCTGTATTTCTCAAAGCAATAGTTCAGTAATAATCCCAGCAGTCCCTTCCATTTCTGCACCCTAACCTTGTGAATATCTTTACTTGTTTACTTGTTTTAATCCATGGACTATTTACTCTGGCCATTCTGCTCGTTAGCAGTAGCCTTCGAGTTCAAGTTCACAGGTGAGCACCTTTCATCCTTAGCAGCAGCTCTGGTGCTGGCTGTGGAAACATCTCCCCCTATCTTCAGTTTGTGCCAGGCAGAGAAGGGAGCCTTAGTGAGAGGCACAGCTCTATTTATCTGGCCAAGTCCGAGCACTTTCCCAGAGAATTTGTGAAATACTGAATGACCAATGGCATGAGCATGTGACTACAAGTCACTGGATAGCAAGCTATGTAAGAAAGCATCCACTAAAGAAGAAAGTCTGAAAGACTATCTGGTGATAACACTCAGTTTAGAGAAGTGCCTTCCTTGTGTGTGAGTACTGAGTCATAAGGCAGTATCACAGCTTTCCTCAAGGTTCCTCTTTTGCTTGCAACCAATCTGGGTAATACTTCACTGTAAGTAAACATGTTCAGATGCAGCTTCAAATACCCATGGCCTATGGTCTCTTTTTCCTGGCTGCTTGACCCCAGCATCCCTGGGCTGCCCTGCTGAATCATCCTCCTGTGCAGTTCTAGTTTCAGGTTCCCTGGTTTGGCAATTGTGCCTTTCAGCACATTAAATGAAAGTTTTCTCAGTTCAGCATGGGAGTTTGCAGGGTTGTCATTTCCTAGATGCGGATGCAACATTTCAATCTTTGAACCTGTGGACATGGTTTGATCAGTTACCATTATAAAATACAGTTAAGCTTATTTTGAGAATTGGTGGAGTAAGACTTACTCTCAAGTAGATGTCAGGTGGCACTTGTTTTTCCTGGGCTGGCTTAGGCAATAATGTGCCACTGAACATCAAGAAATAACAAACTGACGTGAATTATTCCTTTTCCATCCTTCATTTCAAGGAGTTCATCCCTGCCTTTCAATGACTATAGGGATTTATCAGTTTTCACTAACAGGATCCTATTTTGACTAGATCCTTCGTTATTTAGTGGTTACAAGATGATATAGAGGAGGCCCCTTGAACCTTGTTAGCCATTTTTATTTGGAATTACAGCTTTTCAGCGAATTCCCTGTGGTACTTTGCCAGATTCTCTCACCAGCTGTTTTTCCCCCAACCATTATATGGTTAATGGGCACAGATTCAGAACTGAAATGAGTAAAATGAGCACAGATGGTTATCTTTCTTGTATTCAGCTGAACAGAATGTGTCCCTCAGTGTCACTCGATGCACAGTGCTTGGCAGTGGGAACTTTACCAAGAAATGCCAGCTCAGCTCTCCTTCCTCTGGGAGGGCAAGCAGAGGAGCCTGTAGAGCTTGCTTTAGATTTTCTCCCTTGCTTTGCTGTTGCTATTATTGCGTGCAAGGTTTATTCGGCTTTTCTGTGACTGAAAATCTTGAATGTATTTGACATGGAATCTACCACTTTCTAACAATTCCATGTGCTGTTTGGTTTCTTTGGATCCACAGGAAGAGCCCAAGTGTTAGCCAAATTGTCTTGACATCTTCAAGAGAAGAACCTCTGTTCTAAGCAAGGGGAGACTTATTAAAAGTACAGTTCTTCCTTTCCACAGAACAGTGTTCACAAAGGTAGATGTTTTCTGTCTGTGAGGTACAGTTAATACCTGCAGATTCAGGATCTGTCTGATGCTCCATCCATTCTGGGAAAAAAAATATTGAACCAAATCTGAATTTATTTAATTAAAATAAAAGTTAAAAACACCCAAAAACTTGAAATCACCTGTTTTTCTGAAACACCTGGATGAAACTGAATGAGTCTGGCAGCAAATTCCCAAACTGTACAGCAGCTCTGTAGCAGAAATCACGCCAGCTTCTTGAACCTCACCCCTTTTATATCTCCACTGGCTTTCCATTTTTTAACAGCACAGAAGAAGGCAAACCTGACCTTGGTGAACTCTTGTAAGCAGTGTGTCAACAGAACAGGAAAAAAGAGAAAACCAGCCCCAATTCAGCAGGAATCAGCAACCTTTCTGAAAGTGCTGCATGCTAGAAGAGGGGTGATCATCTCATGCAAATCACTGCAGGCTCTAACAGGAACTTCTCAGTGCTGCTGTTATGCTCTGGCTCTCAGTAAGTTTCATTCTAACAAAGAATGACTTGGTTTTCTTCATTTGCTGACTTTCACTATTAGTCTGTGGGTCTTCGCCCTCATATTTGAGGGAAAGAGAAGCCCTGATGTTGGCTTCAGTGGTTGCCTTTCATGATGAAACATTTTCAGCCTAATATATTTTATTGGCAGCAACTGAAGTCAGATGCTTAAACCTCATATGGAGACTGAATATTTGCAAAGAGGGGTTGTACCCAACTGCCTCATGTACTTGCACATGTCGGAATGGCAGTAAGCCACAGACCCCAAATGTTTTTTCTCTCTCTGTCTTCTGGTCTTCAGTAATTTAATCCCTCTACTGCATGGATGGTGGTAGGTTCTTTCAGAAATTCATATTAACCGGTCCCCCTTGAGCTTGAGATTTCTCTTCTGTGTCTTCCCATGGCAGGTATGAAGGCTGGCTGCTTCCAGGTGCTGCTGGCACTGCTTAGCTTCCACTTCACATTCCCCAAATTCCATCCTGGGGTGTCTAGGCAGATATCTCTTGGCTGCTTAAATTGAAAAACAATAACATTCAAATGCACAGGGGTCAAACAGAAAGCCAGGTAGGAGAGATTCTGCGAATAGTAAAGCTAAAAGGACTGGCCTTGAATGCAGCAGTGAGGGAGCAGAAGCAGCCCTACAGAGAGACAAATAGTCTGAGCATGGATATGATGTGAAAATGTGAGAAACAACTAGGTGAAGCAATTTCCAGTAGTTTTAACTCCAAGGAATTGGAGAGCAGGACTAGCAGTAGCACAACCAAACTGCAAACATTCAGAAAGTTTTGTATTTGAGGTAGTGTTTTAAAGATCTCTGCCTATTTCGCTTTTGTTTTTTCTCACCCTTTTACCAGTGAGTGTAGATGACAAGCAGAGCTGGAAATCACAATATTAAATTCTTTACTAGCCACAAATTCTCTATGGCTATATAGAGAAAGACAAAGTGATGTGAAGAAAAGAGGCCACTAGAGTTCATCTAATGACAGGCATGTGTGAGGCAGTCAGGATGCTCTGTGTAGTAAATGAAGCCACGTTACTGTATAAGGAAAGATTTGGGTATAGTGACTGTTATATCTGAATGATCATGGCATGCAAGTACAGAAGACAATGATCTTTCCAGAGTTTGTGGAGAAGCAAATCCTTGCTTTATCTAGGCACAATTGAACTTTGCAGACAAGTGCATTAATGCCTCACCAGGTCAGCAGGGCTATAATTGTCTCTAACCAGAACAGTCAAAAGTTGCAGAGTTCACTCTCTGCTGGGTGAGTGACACCCAGAAATTCTTTCTAGACTTAAAAACAAGCAAAGAGACAAGTCTGAACCTGAACTTCAGTGTAATCACGCCACTCAGCAGCATAAACAAACATGGCACCGATTGGAAAATTATTCTTGAGTAGTCAGTTTTGACTGATCCAGATAAGAAGTTCCCAAAGTTAGGGTCATGCCCCTGAGGAGTGCTGAAGGAAGAGAGGTCACAAGCCCGGAAAGGAGGTTTCAGGCTGAAAATCTTGGAAACTGCTGATCTAGACAAATGAATGGTTATGCCAAGGGGGTTCCCCAAGAATATCTCTTTTCCATTCTCCTGCCTTGCAAGCAATAACTGGAGGGACTTTTAAAGCTGGCAAGGCTGGCCTGTTTGTAACATGCTGATGTATTTCTAAAAGCAGATCTCTGGAAATGAGCCTGAGATCAGGGAGATGAGAGCAAGGCAGGCTCTTGAGGGAAGGATGTAGAACAAAGAGAAGGGTGGGAAACAGGATCTGCAAAGGAAAAATAAGATTGAGTGGAAGAGATGGAGGCTTGTTAAGGTTGTAAGACAGCTTTGTAGTCTAACTTGGAAGGTTACATTAGTCTCACAACAACTTTGAGCTGCATACCATCATGTGGAAGCTAGTGTAATTTTTGGTGGAATTAATGTGTGACCAGAGTAAAGTGTGTACAACTGATGCATACACAAAAATAAGGCAACATCTTTGAGTCTCCAAATGGCTGTCTTTACTCTCCTTGTGCTTTGAAAGCTACCAACACCAGGCTCTGAATTGACTTACATCAAGAGAAAACCACTGTTACTGGGAACTTCTGCAGATTAGTTTATAATGAAAAAATTGGAAAATACAAGCAGACCAAAAAATTAGCATGGCTTACACTCTTCATTTTGTCTCATCATTATTTAAAAAAAAAAAAAAAAAAGTTTTAGCAATATTTGGTAAAAGTCTCTAAACATTGAATATTGGTGATTTGTTTTGCCAGCAAAGTGGTAAGTAGTTGTTTGTGGCAAAGATTTTCAGCTCAGCCAAGGGCTGAAAGTGCAAATTTCTCAGAAAGACCCACAGAACCTTTCAGTAACTAAAGGAAGGCTGTAAGAAAGAAGGAGACAGACTCTTTAAGAGGGCCTGCTGTGATAGGACAAAGGGAAATGGTTTCAGACTAAAAGAGGAGAGACTCAGATTGACTATAAGGAAAAAGCTTTTTACAGTAAGAATTGTGAGGCACTCAAGATCAGGCTGGATGGGCTCCGAGCACCTGTTGGAGCTGTAGGTATCCTTGTTCATTGCAGTGGAGTTGGACCAGATGGCTCTAAGGGTCCCTTCCAACTCAAATGATCACATCAGGCTGCTGTCATAGTCCTGTGCTGAGGTCTCAGCAGGCCGAGTCTCCTTGCAGCTAAGGTTTGTGGGAGCCTGCTGAACTCTCCCCTGGGCTCTGCAGAAAATAAACAGAGCACCTGCAAGTCATGTGGGCTTTTATAATACCAAATTAGTGTAAGGATAAGAGGGGTGTTGGCACCATGAATTGGGCATTTTGAACAATTTTGTCTACAGCACCCTACTTGCTACCCAAGGGCACGGAGGATGAAAGCAATAGATTTGGGGCAATTAGGAGGGAGTAGAGCAATCATGCAAGTTCAAGTCAGGGACGAGAACTAGGCCTGGAGGTTAGTAAGCCAGCACAGGTCATCATCATAAAACAAACATCAGGTCTGTGTGGTGCAATACCTAGCTGAGGCTATGTGCTAGAAACAATGCAGAGGTAAAGTCAATAACATTGTGTGGTATTTATTTAGTAGCGTTATGTTGAGAGGTATTAATGGACCAGGAGATCTTTGCAGGGGTTGCCTGGGTGCTGTATTTCAGGTCTAAGATGGAGCTGGCCAGGCCTGCTCCCGCGCAGAGCCCGCAGTGCTGCAGGGACGAGGCCGCAGGGCAAGGCGGGGACAAGTTGCCCTGCTGCTCCAGTTACTGCTGCAGGAAGCAGTGCTGACCCACAGCCATAGGTGCTAGAGGAAGCCCAGAGGAGGTGTTGTGCTGAAGACCCTGAGAACAAGGGAAGGCAGGCAGTCCTGAGCCTTAACCACACTACTGGGGTGGATTCTTGAGCAAGGCAACTCTCTTCTGCTGCTTGTTTTTAGCCAGAAAAAAACTTTGTGAGCCTCTTTGTGATTAAACGAACATATACCAAGAATGAACCTGTACAGCTTTGAATAGCAACAAATTGGTCACATGAATGATGCCTAAATTTCAGGCCTCCGTGTCAAGAGCCATGGACACTTTGCTCTCGAAAGAACCTGATTTTGCAGGATGCTCCAGACTGAATTTGTCGGTAAGACTTAAGACTTCTGTGTGCTTATCTCTCAAGTGCGGGAATAGTTTTAGTGAAGCCATAGCAATCATTCACATATAAAGTTACAGGCATGCTTCAGACAAGACCAGATTGGTGCAGAACCAGTCCTTATCTCCTGTTCTGGTGATCCAGTCAGGACCAGTCCCTACAAGTTTCTCTTCAGAGTTTAAACTAAGCCTTTGGTTTGAGAATTGTGAGGTTTTATTTTCATAATTACCTTTAGTTTCAGAGCTGCCCTTGAGGCTATTTGGAATCCATTGAAATATGCTGAATTCTAAATCAGATGTTTCTGTATTTCGTGTCAAAAGCACAAATATGAGGTTTATGATACCTTTTGTTTGATGCTGTGCTCAGAATCTATCATTCCAGCCAAGGTGATTTTTTTCTTTACATCAAAGCATATGACTTTGGTTTCCCAACTATTTCCTCAAATACCTTTTCCAGTTTTCAGAATAACTGATGGGGAAAAAAAGTACATATATCATCATGATGCTCAAAATTGTCATAGTCTTAACATGTGACTAGTGACCATACAAAGTAAAGAAGGGGTCCAGGTTCATGTTACAGGACATTCATGTTCATCTTACGCCTTGACTCCAGTGGTTGCTGGCTTTAGTACATTAGTAATCCAGTCCTATAGCTGGTCCAGTTCATCTCTGTATGTGCATTTAAGTTCCAATGTATTTCTGGTAGTCAGATTGTTTTCATGATGCTATCCATAACCATCTCAAGATACATGGCATTCTTTTTGCAAAGGAAGTTTTCTAGAGAGCAGACAGGAATTTTTGGTTCTTATATTCTTCTAAATATTCTTCATTCTTCCTATTACTGCTGATTATAGAGCTCATTTCTGTGATACCACCCTTAAATTGTTTGCAGGTTCACATGCCAGTTGCTGAAACATAACATAAGGGCTCATTTATACCCCAATGGAGCTCCTGTGTACTGAAGGGAGCTTTTCCTGGACAAAATATGTTTTCAGCCTATCCAAAATCTTTAAGTCTTCAGAAAAAGTCCTTTATGTGAAATTTAATGCTCTCACTTGAAAGCTAGGCATGATAAAAATACCAGAATACAAGATGGGAGGGAGGAGGGGGAAAAAAAAAAAAAAGGATTTTCTTGCTACAGACTATTGGGGAGTATAGCTGTAGGAACAGATGAATTCACTTAATGAAGCAACTTTGGAGTATAAGTTTTCTATCTGTAGTCAAAAGACAGTTTTTATATTTCAGTAGTAACAGAGTGTTTTCTAAGAAGCTGTGACCTTTAATATCATTATGTATGAATTTGTGTATGTGAATGTGATATACAAATATGTTAATGAATCAAACAACTTGGGGCCTTCCAAGTTGATGAGCTGATGCAAATTTCTGAGTCATCGCACCCAAAACCATGTTCTAAATTTTTACACTATTTTGGGATGCAGAGGGAACATCAGATATTTTATCTGACTGATACCATCAAGTGCCTTCCATTAAGTTTCCTAATGTATATTCTAGAGACAGCCAGATGCACACACACACCTGGAAACGAATGGCACTGAAATAAAGTGGCACTTATTCAAATTTATCAGAGATGCGAAGCAAGTCAGCTAACTACAGCAATTAATGTGTAGCAGAATAAGGCTTCAACAAGTATTCAAGCTTCAGTTAGTTTGCATCATCTCAACATTTCTCTTCTTCCTTGCTCTTCCCTTGTGCTGCATTTCCTAGTTCATACATACACTGCTACATACAGATTCCTGTATGGAACTGGGCAGATTCCTGGCAGATCCAACCAAGGACAGTAATGTCAGCACAGAGAGCATTTGTGGAATGGCCTGGGTGATATCTAATGTATTGTAGTTTCTGCTGAATTCTTATTCCCTTGTTTCTAATCCTATATAATAGTGACAACTAAGTCCTGCTATTCTGGAACATTGCCTTTAATAATAGGGAATTGAAAAATGGCAGGAGAGTGCTTTCCGGTCCTGCATTTCTTCAAAGTGTACTTTAACAATGCACAGTATTTCTCGATGCTGCATAATCCTATTTCTGAATTCCAGCTGCAGTTCAGGCTTTCTTCTTGGTCCTGCTGGAGTTGCTGGCATTGTTTCATCTGATATAAGGGGGAGTATGTTCAAAGAAGAAAAAACACACAAAAATGTGTTTAAAGCATTTCCATCCAATCTGAACATGATTTTTCAAGATCTTGCAGTGTCTGTAGCATAGGCAGCTACAATATCAATAGCATTTTACTAACAATGTACCAGAGCCTTGTAACTCTCCTATAATAAATGAATTGTAAATAACACTCTCAGCACAAACAATTAACAGGATCTATATTGCATTCTCTCTATAAAGACTGAGTCAGTTCCCCCATGCTCTGAGCATGCTGAAATTCTCAGAGAAACTGCAACTGAGTGCAGTTATTATTGGATCTAAGTATTTTTTGTTGTTGATGATGTCATCATAAATGATAAAATGTATGAAATTTCATACCTTCGTGACAGCACATCCAAGCTTTACAAAGGTAGGCTGTGGCTGAGTAGTGCAGTTTTTAATGTTTAGCATAGGCTAGGAGGATCATTTGCATGAACATCAATTTCTGTAGGGCAAAAAGTTTACTAAGAAGCACCTCACTTCTGGTTTCCAGAAATGAGAAAGTGAAATTCTGACATATGTTTACAAGAATTGGAAGCTGAACTTCAGGAAGTCACATGATTTCCAGTTACACCCCATATATGGGCATTTAGATCATGAAAGCAATAAAAAAAAAACACTTGCTGTTACAAGTCTGAAGCTGACATGCATTATCTCTGTGTAGCCATGTTCCCATGCGTATGGCATTAGGTTCTTCCCCCCTTGTTCCAAGAAATTATACCACTAGGTAGTTCAGAGAAGTCACAGTCCCAAACTGAATGTGCAGTGGCTGATACAGGGAGGAGTTTTCTTTGGAAGCTCAGAAGGACAGTATCCAGTAGAAAGAAAAGCACAGCCCCTTGTTTGACTGTCAATAGCTGAGTAAGTAACTCCCAGGCAAATAACCGCGTGCGCGGGGGAAGAACCTTGAGGGGCGTGACTTAGTGGGCATGGTGGTGATGAGTTGATGGTTGGACTATATGATCTTAGTGGTCTTTTCCAACCTTAATGATTCAATGATTTAACTTTATCTGAGTAAGAAAAGTAGAATCCAAGAAAGGAAAAATCTACTGTTAGCTAAACTCACAGATGTGCATTTTCTACCAACTTTTCCTCAGTGTCTACAAACCCTGCTGCTTCCATCTCCTGTAGAGAATGGTATGGTTCAGAAGAGGTGTACTGGATATATAATGCAAACAGATATTTTTTGTTGTTGTCATTAACTTTGCCTGCATTGGTTGAGTTGTTCACCTCCAATAAAACAAGTTAACTCCCTAGATTTAGGCTACTCCTGGTGCCTCATCTGACTTTTCCAAGGCAGCTCTGAGTCAGATCTTTCTTTCCCCTTCTTATTCCTCAAGTGCGTGTGCTCTCTTTCTATTTGGACAACCATAAATGCAGCATGGGGAAAGTGTTTGTGTAGCTGAGGGTAACTTAGCTGACTCCCTGGGCAATGGCAGTTAAAGGAGAATTCAGAAATTTGGAACAGAATCATTACCTCAAATATGTTCCAAAAGTGCCGTCTATTTTCCCTCCAGAGAAGGAAACTGAGCTGAATTGCAATAGAAGTAACTGTGGGATTTTTGGAAGACAGTAAATGGAGTAAGGATAAATCTATGTGTTGCGAGTGAGTAGATCCGTCCTATGGGTACCAAATTCTTGCATTCTATACAGCAACCAGTTTCTTTAGCCAGAAGCTGCAAGCTTCACCCCAAACAGCAAGAAGTTCCTGCTATTGTAGAGCCCAAAAAGTATCCTTAGTACCATAGAAACCCCTCTGTTGCTTATCAGCATAAATATAATTAGGATGCCTTTACAGTAGAACATTTGCTAAGAGAACTGGAGTTCAGTGCTGCCTATACTCTGCTTTTCTGGTTTGTTATATTTTTGCGTGATGAATCTTAACCAAAATCCATATTCAAAGATTTCCTCCAGACAAACCTTGGGCTGATGACCGCTGAGGAGGAAGGAGCCTGATCTATGTAGAAGCAACAGCATTGACTGCAGGATGCAAAGTAACATCTGAAATATAAGGAAGACCTTATATCAATGTGTGATGAGGCCTTTCTGTTCCTATAATTAAGACATTTACATGGTTGAGCTCCTCCTTTCAAAACACACCCCTGTGATGACTACCAAAACCACTCCTTCAGAGGTCTGCAGACAGTTACCCAGGTAATGAAGAAGGGCAGGGTGAAGGAGGAGGAAGATTAGGCATGGATAATAGAAAATATATGTCAGTGACCTTGTGACTATTCAGGGTGTTCATCTTTTATAATGTGGGAAGTGCATTTCCTTAGAGCACCAAGAAAATGCTGGCAGGTGTGAGATAATCAAGCACTGGCTGTGTTCGTTATATTATTTTGCTGTTTTCTACATTAAAGCATCCATTGTCAACCAGCCATAATCAAAAGTGCTGCCACGTTGATATTCTTCCACGTATATTCTAATTATTCACTGGATTTGGAGGTGGTCTTAGCATAAGTTACGCTATGTAATCTAACATGTAGTATATATTTTTATAATATAAAATACAAGGGTAACACTGACCAGGAAGTGGAGATGCTACAAAACTCTTTGCAGTGCATAGGAGTGCAGCTCACAATCATCTTTTGAAGATCACTACACTGGCAGTGGAAAAGACTTATTTTCCTGTCAGTAGAGACACTCCTCTGCTGTGACCTAATCTCACATTTTATACTGGCTCCTTTATTCTTTCTAGAAAGAAAAATAAAATGTCCTATAGTGATCAATACATCTTGAGTCTGTAGCACTGAGTCTTTCATGATGGTTTCTAAGATGTGTTGATGGAGGACTTTCACGGTTCTTGTAACAACTGTGTGTCAGCTTTAGGATTTGAATCTGCAGGCTGAAATCCCTTACCCCAAAGAAGAGGCAAACCCTTCCAGAGGCACTCAGCAGTAGCTGCAGGATCAGCCCCTTCCTGCCTGATTCAGCACTGTTGATGCCAGTGTAAGTTTTACCCAGGATTTCACAAGGCTCCTAATCAGGCCTGAGGACTGTGGTCCTTTCTTTGCTCCATCTCTTTGCACAGTTAATGAGCTTACACTTACATAAGGTGTGTAAGAGGGGCTTCGTGCCATGCGTGATGGGAGCTTTGCCCCAAAGCACTGACAGTGTGAGTTTAGATTTGGCACAAGGAGGGAAAGTTATAAACAAAATGTGTCATGGCAGTGAGATCAAGGGTTGCTCTAGTTTGGTAGGTGAATATCCTGATGGCCACGCTGATTAAATAGAGTGAGTCACAGCTGTAGGCTGGGAGGAAGAAGTGGGGTGGCAGAATGATGTGGCTGTGCAGAGACCTGGTGAGCAGAGATTAGGAGGGCAGTTTGTGCCCAGAGAATAGCTTGTCTACTGGTGTCATTGTTTTAGGCATTTAAAACAGACTGGGTTAATCACTAACAAAGATGCCCAAGGGAACAGTGCTGTATCGGTTATCTTCCTGAGAGTTTGGCTGTTTTGGTTCTCTTTATTCTATACAAAAGAGCTTATTCATCTTTAGTTTGAATGTCTCTAATTTGGACATCCATTTAATTTGGAAGGTTTCCACCAGACACCAATGAGACCGTCTGATTAAAGTCATGACTTACAACCAAACTCACTCCATGTTGCTGACCGCAGTTTGGTTATGAATTGTGAAAGAATGTTAAAATCCAGTGTATTTTTCTCTCTGTGTGCTCTGTTTGTTTTTAACATTTTGATTGGGCAATGAAAAATGTCAGTGATGCTAGTTGCATGTCTTTAGGTACAAATTTGCCTTTTAGCTATTGCATGGGAGTGATTATTTGCTTTTAGAGACTACATCTGTGGATTTTTAGTTCATTCTTCTTAAGTCTCTGGAAAAAAATATGGCATTGCATAAAAGCCTGCAGTATGAAAGGTAAAAGCAGAGCCAATATGGGGACTGCAAAATCTTTTCATGTCTCTGACTTCCAGAGAGCAACAGCAACAATCTGAATAGAGGCTGATAGAAGCAGCATTATTGCTTCTTTCTCCTGAATTCCTTTCATCAGCCTAGTGACTGCATGTGTCCTGATGACACATTTCTGGGTCACATGTCCCCAAAAGATGGGCTATATGGAGACACACAGCATGGAAAGTATTCTGACCAGAGAATAGTTATGTTGACAGGTTCCTCGTGTGACGTACATTTCTATATTCCTCACATGGACTTTATTAATAGCACAAGGCTGAGACAGGGAGAGCCAGTTATTATTCTTTATGTAAATAAAACAACAGAAATAAATACTCTCTTGTTCCTTATCGTATTAAACCTGCAAATAGCTTATCACTGTATAAGGCAGCTTAGGCTGGCATATGAGAGCGCTGGAAAACACAGAGCAGGCGCCAAGATCTGCCCAGCCAAGTTGTGCAGGAGAGGAGTGAAGGCACAGTCCAGAGCTGAAGGAAGAATAGGAGGCTCAGGTAATTACTGTAAAAGCCACTCTCAAGCATAACCAAGCTGGATGCTTGTTTTGGTTTTGGTCCAGTGGAAATGTTGCAATGAAAGAGCTGGATAGTTTTCTTCCTTGACAACATCAGAGATGTTGCTGCTTTTCCCAGTCAACTGTCTCCCATTCATTGGGATCTGGACTACCCACTCTGCAGGACAGTGCTCTGGTTAGGAGGTCAGAGACAGAACATTCTGCAAGTGTAAGCTGTTCTTATTCAGATACTTCTCAGGCTCATCAGTCACTTCTACTGAAGTAACAGTTCTTCCAGCTAGCAGTAGCAGAAAACTGTTGCCCTGGTGTATGAGTTAAATACATGGAGGTATAAAGCAGCATTAGAGGTCGTGTATCCTGTCCTTTCCGTTAGTGTTTTCTTCCTGACACTGAAAAAAAACACCAATCTGGGCGGGAAGAACTTTTATTAGTTGTGACTCTTCCATCCTGATCGCAACCAGTTCCTTTTATCTTCATCAACATGGAGAAGTACGGAAGGCTGTTGCAGTTTGACAGAGGATGAAGCTATAGCTCACATGATGAATTTCAACTAAACCTGGAATTCAAAAACATGCAGGGCCTTCAGCCTTGCTCTGAACTCATCATTGATAACTATTAAAAGGGATTGCATTTTTACAGGTTCTCTCCAAGATATAAATACTTTTCATATGTAACATTCAGAAAATTCCTCTGTGTTCTTAAGTTCAAATGATGGAAATAAATTATAGAAATGCTGTTTAAGTGCTAAGCAGGATGTGGCAATAGAGTTATTTCATTTACATCTGCACTGTGAGCAAGAAATTCATCATAAATGTACCAGGTCAATGTGGTTTTCCACCATGCTTATGAGGGTGATTTACCTCCTGTGCAATCAAAATAAAGACACATTAGTGGCTAGGAATATTTTCTAAGTCATCCAAGTTGACATGTTTTAGCTGTAGGGGAGAAATTGATTTTGAATTCTTCTGATTTCCTTTCCTTTATGTCTCAGTTAAACACACCACAAAATAATTTCATGAAAATTTTCTGCCGCTGTTACTTGTAATGGCTCGGAAATATCAGAATATCCTTGAAGTAGAGCAGCCTTCTCCAAAGCATTTTGCATAGCTTAATTAGTGCAGATCTTTCTTTCTCTGTGCCTTCTCTGAGGGATTTCTTCACACCAGATGTTTCTAGGTATTGAGAATCAGAGCCAGAGGTCAACCGATGAGCTGCTGATGGCTCAATCTGAACGTGACGTAATGCATCGGCTCACAAGAGCCCCTTTCAAAGAAACTTCATCTTCGTGTATGTGGTGCTGCAGACAATCCCTTTTACCAAGTGAAGCCTGATAGCCATGTGTGTTGATTCAGATTCAGGACTCCACAAAGCCTCTATCTATGTCTGCCTGCACTGTCTGTTTGCTGCAGCTTTCCC